CCTTCAAACAATCTCAAGCCCGTACAAAACGCCGGCGTGTTTCTCCGGTCCATCTTGAAGGAAATACAAATCTCTCATCCTCTGAAACGCATGCCACGTAAGCAAACTATCCGAACCGGCCTGGTGACATTTTCCAACCGCCCGGTTAACCTGAAGCGTCAATGCGACCCGGTCTAAACCGCCGTACAATCTCTTTTGGCAAAATCTCATCATGTGCTTCACGTCGTACACGCACTCCCCAAACAACGCTCTCATCACGCGCTTAAACTCACACAACGCTCCGGGAAGTTCCCGGCGCGTGAGAATCTTCATCAGGTAACCGAAATCGTACGCGCTATGGAAAGTCACCCAGCTCACCTCCTCGTTGCAGACAAGCCCCGACGACATCATCAGCTCCGTAAACCTCTCTGAATCCACACCGTCGCGGAGGTTCCGCTCGAAATCGATCCCCTGAACGAAGAAGCTCGATCAAATCCGGAGCGTGTGCGTCACGCGCCACGTCGAAATCCTTGAAATTAAACTCCCATATGAATCGTCGGCCAGCGTCATCGCCGAGATCCGGGAGGTTTCCGTCAACGTCGGAGAGAGTAAGACCGACCTGGATGAGGCTGAGCGCGTCGACGTTCGATTTGAGTATAGTGTAGAGATCGAGGGGGTTTCCACGGCGGAGATCGGCCTTAAAAATGACGCCGGGAAACTCTGTGTCCATCGAGATAAACGGATAATCGTCGATGATCCGGCTTATCAAATCAAACTCCGATTCGAGATTCTTCGCCCATACTTGGCGAATCACGACGGCGCCGCTTGGTTTGTGACTCTGATCTGTCATTGAGAAATTGGAATTGAATGAGAAATTAGCTTCCAATTGTTCGGCTTATTAAGTTATCATTGATTTGAGTGAGAGACTGTGACTTGTGTGTGTGTGTAAAGAGTGAAGAGTTGCGAGGAAAGTGAGTGGGCGAGAAACGCGTCAAGTTGGGGGAATTTGACTCGTCTGTTTCACAAAAGTCTCTCGCTTATAAAAATAATAATAAAACAACAAATAACTATATTTAATTACAAAAATCCCTGGCTTCGAATGGTGACAGCGGTTAGAGCGATGCGGGACAAGCGGTTTAGGGGGTGCAGTGCGGTTTTAGTGCGGTGCTGTTAGAAAAAACGCACC